GCAATGTACCATCAGCTATAGAGAAATACAAATCCCAGCAATACATTATACACTGTATGTATAATGTATTGCTGGGATTTGTTGTATTTCTCTATAGCTACTGGTATTCTGCATTGTGCTGTATAGAGGACTACAAATCAAGGAATAGTACATTATACAGCGCAATGCCACCAGCTATAGAGGAGTACAACAAAGCCCAGCAATAGTACATTATACAGTGGTGCAATGCCGAATACCACTAGCTATAGAGGATTACAAAACCCAGCAATAGTACATTATACAGTGCAATACCACCAGCTATAGAGGAGCACAACAAAACCCAGCAATTGTACATTATACAGCGCAATGCAGAATACTTCCAGCTATAATGTACTATTGCTGGGATTTGTTGTATTCCTTTATAGCTGACGGTATTCGCCATTGTGCTGTATACTGTACTATTGCTGAGTTTTGTAGTCCTCTATAGTCGATGCCATTCTTCATCATTGCTGTATAATTTTACACTTTTCATTTCACTATATTGCACACCACACTTTTCTTTTTTACTTCCACCGCTCCAAGCTTGCTCCTGTGATGGAGTGCAATCTCAATACAAACTAGTGGTCCCATCGCTGGAGCCATTTTAAAAAATGTATTTTTTTTTCTTCCGATTAACCGATTAATCGAACGTAATAATCGGCTAACTAATCGATTTTAAAAATAATCGTTAGCTGCAGCTCTAAAGTACATCACTGGTGCTACAAAGAACAGCTTGCAGATTGCTACTGATGTTTTCCATTATATTTTGTTGAAGCAGCGGCCTTCACACTTGGTACAACTGGTTTGGGTAAAACACTGAAAAATAGCTTGATTGTGTATTCACAGGCATGACCTTTGCTGACCTAGCTTTAACATTGCCGAGCTAAGAGCAGCCATTTGTTTTGACAGCAGAATTAATTGAGGCTAAAACATTTGAAATTCCACTTGTATCAAGCTGTTCATTAGGAATTGCTCTGTGGCTTTAGTGCTGTCAGAAAAATAAAATGTCCTCCTCTGATTAAATAGCAGAATGATGGCCGGTCCACTGAATTTCCAGAGAGAGGTTGAATAAACTTTCTACTGCGGAAACGATTGCGAAGTGACACGCCGCAGGAGGGAGGTCACGATGTGCACTGATATCCTGCTGGGCTGTCAACTGGCACCATGCCAGGCACGCAAAGCCTTGCCACTCACTATGGCATGGGAAGCTCGTGTAAGAGATGCAAGAAGAACCTCAAAATCCCTCTGTGGGATAATCCTGTCAGAAAATTCACTTTTTGTATTTTTAATTCTCTCATACATTTTTAAAAAGGGTGGAAGTAGTTTGCTCTGGTTTTCTATTCAAGATGATTGATGCAGATTATATAGCAGCTTTGTTTTATGTAACTGGCTTCTTGGTCAAGGAGCTTGCATTCTGTGTTATGTATTATAATTGCATCATAAAACACCCATAAACTTTAGGCGGTTGTCTACATTAAGAAATTATGACTGCTCCAAAAATGTTCAGGCTGCTAGTGTCCATTTTAAACTATACAGAAATCCTTTGGTCATTACTACCAGAGAAGAAAACGCATTAAAGACTCATTCTAAAAGCTAGTTAGTTGGCTGTCTCTCACTTTAAAGGATAAATAAAGCCTCTGTTATTTTTGCATAGATCTACTGCTATCAAGCAGTAGATCTATGCAAAAAGTGTAAAAAAAAAAACCCCGAAAAAAACGCTTTAACAGAGGTTAATACTCACCTGTGTCTTCCCTGCGCGCTCCCGTCCGAAAACGTGAAGCTCCTCAGGCGGTCGCAAAGCATCTTGGGGCGGGCGCATGCGCAGTTCACATTTTCGGCCGGGACGTGAGGAGAAACACAAGGTAAGTCTATAGTCGCATGCACCCGCATGCAGACACTGTGGGACAGGAGGTGCCAGCAAGGACAGAGGAGTCGGCGCGGGATCGGAGACCCGCAGCAGCGCTGGAGGGACAGATGAAAACAACAGGAAAGAAGATCGGATTAAGAAACATCATTTAAGGTAAGTGCTTTAATTAACATTGGGGGAGGGGGAACAAAATTGACTTTAATGTCACTTTAATACTTCACTGATTGTATGCAAGCATGCAGCTAGTGAAATCAGAGGATCGGTATGAGAGCCAGCCAACTAATATCTTCACAGAGCAGTCAGGAGTGGCAGCCCCAGTCTGCATTACAGTCTTACTAAAAGCCTGGTACTTCTGGGTTGTGAGGTACACAGGCACGCTACCTCTGACCTTCCTCAATTCACTGCTCTGTGCCCCACGTATTTAGCTGTGAAGCCCAAGTGCTATCACATGGAGTGTGAGGAGTGCTTATTGATGCAAATACTGACCTTCAACATAGTTAATATCTGTATAGGATTTTTGTAGACCAGAGCAAGTAAGTAGGAGTGCTAACTGTAAAATTGCCTGCATTTGGGGGGATTTTTTTACATTTGATTTTTATTAATATGAGGATTTTTTATTTATTTAAAGCAGAACTAAAAAAAAAAGAGCACTAAGTACACAGAATTATCCATTATACTGTACACCAGCCAAGGGACTTGTTAATCTGTTGTGTAGCCAGTACTATGATTGGACTGTGTAGTTAACCGTTTTCCTGAATTTCTCATTTAACTGAGGCTGGTTGTATGTAGACCATTTTCTGGGAAGAATTGATGAAAATGCTTTGAGCATTCAGGGGTTAATAAATACTCAATACTTATGATGGGATCACCTACAATTAATACAATTAGGAGATGTTGGTCAGAATGATTTCCCAACTTGTTAGAAAATAATTTTTGGCAGATGATAGATTTCACAAAATGTATTTGTTGTTCGTGATCATTTATAGTACGGGTATCAGCTACTGTATAAAACAACCTCCGTTAGAAATGTCACTATGAGCACTCTAAAATTGAAGGAATATTGTTTGTTACCATTATTTCAATCAAGATCTTTGTACTTCCTGCGAGACGTCCCGCGTATTGCTAGGCGAAGGTTGCCTACAGTGTCCTTTAACGATTTGCTGGTTAGGAAGTTGATTGTGTATTGGGAAATGTTCATCCTCAGGATTTATCTAGTTACCAAGTAATCTTTAAACCTTTACATTGATGCCTTTATTTTGTCACTGTTTTTATTTACTAACTTTGGGTTTGTTGGCCCACTAACCAGCTTTTATGAACATTCCAATAGTGTTTTGCACGTAATGTGCAGTAGGGGGCAGACACAACATGTGTAATGCTTCATAAAGCATTCCCATAAATAATAAAACCAGTTGCAATAGTTTGGCATAGCCTCAATAACATGTTCCACAAATATCCTTGTCATGTTTGCATTATATATTTACCGCCAATATTTCAGTGCTTTTAATTATACTCTATTGTAATTCTGCATGAAATGGGTATTGGTCAGTACGGTTACAGCTAATGATCTCTCAACTCCATGGTGGTCCAGGAGCTTTGTGAATAAAGAAAATATATACTTTAGTTTTAGAAGTATAGTTTGAGCTGACCACATATGGACAAGTCATCTTTATATTGATTTTATGTGTGAACATACAGTGATTACTCATGATTATGCCTGCTTCTGGCCACAAAGACACCCTCTGTGCTCTTGCACCGGCTTTACTTTGAGGAAGTAGAATAATCTACACGTGAGCTTGTAGTAAAATGTGATCAACTGTCATGAGGTTCTTATTGAAGGCACCCAGAGGTGTTTGCACATAGCTGCACTTCTTGTATAAAGCACCCTGGTACCTCTGAAATCAGTGGTAATTTACTATGGAAAAGCAGTCTTTATCTAGGGAGTTAGGACTGTGGCCCACCCCACTTATGCAAACACACATCGCAGTAGTGAAGCTAGGGAGGGGGAAGGCCACAGTTCTAACTTTTAAGTTGAAGTCAGAATTTGCATCATAGAGCACCCTGGATTTTTGGTTCCAGGGGTTTTAAAAGATAACAGAAGCCTGCAGGTGCCTGCATAGCAGGTTAGGATGATCATTTTATTGAGGACAGTGTGCCAAAGTGTTCTCTGTGTACCCAACAGAGAACTTTCCACTTCCTGTATGATAGGTAATCTTCTGTTTGTCTCATTTCTCCAAGTGACTTTTAGCTCCGCTGATGACAGCTATTAATCTAAAGGGGACAGTCTGCTGAACAGTTCTACTATAAGCTGATGGTCGCTAAAGCGAACATCAGCTTATAGTAGAACTGTAAATGCCAGGTCCGTACGACGTACTGAACTGGCCAGCTGGAAGCACTTTTGTAGCTCCGTACGACGTACGTCCTTGGCAGCGAAAGGGTTAAATTATCCACATTGATGTGGACATTGATACTCCGAGAGACATGGAGATCACCTAAACACAGAGGGGTTCTTTCAGAGATAGATGTTTTCTGAAATACAATATTATGATTGTCTGGAACATTTGCAGTATTTAGAAAAAATTTAGAAATCAAAACATTTTTGGGAAGAGGATTTTGACATTTATGACCTTTTGGAGGTCAGCAGGAACATTTTCTAAAAGAATTATGCTTTGACTCAAGTCTGGGTTCTGATACACACTTGTGTTGAGTTGCTAATACAGTTCCTATATGTTTTTCCACTTTGTAATGAGTTTGGCTACAATGGCCTTTTACATTTATTTTTTTTTCAATTTTCCTTAAGGTCTCATTGAGTTTGAAGCATGCAACACAGCCATTGCAGTAGAAAGTAAGTGATTCTGAGTCTGAGTGAATGAAAGCATTTGGTTTTAAAACACATTGGATTTAATGCCAAGTTCCACAGCAACTGAAATTTCTATCTGTAAATGTTTCCAGGTTTGAGGACAAAGAAAAGAAAGCCATTTGCGCTTCCAACGATAATCAGGAAGGAGAAGGATATAGAATCTGTGTAAGTATTTTGCTGTGAGGCATTTCAGCAAGATAGACAATTGTCATTGTAGCTGCAACAGTTATAAAGCTTTTCCTTGGAACGCAGGTTCTACTATACTTCTGACACAGTTCAACTTTCATATCTTGAGTATGATTTATGAATGAACATCCATGTCTCTTTGAACCTTTGTGGTCATAAAGGTTATATCTCAAAGTTCAGTGATAATATACATTCACTTATTCCATTAACAAAGTGCAAAGCCACAAATTAGGGCGTAGCAATGCCCTGCAGTTGGGAACCCTTAGTTCCTCATCAGTGGCTAGCTGTTAAGAATTAACTAATTGCTTTTGGTGGGTGATAAATTCAGGTACGGTGTCTAGTCCATCAGAGACCGACCACCAGCTTTGAATGTTCGGGTCCAGTGGTGGGTTTCATTTTGCCGATTGCTAGTAACTGAAGGCATAGATTGCATGTTATGTCCCAGCTGAAGAAAAGGGGAAGTGAAATGCTTATTTGGGTTGTTAGAACATTGTGTTGGTATTAAATATATTTATACTTTTTTTTTATTTTAGAGAATAACTTTTTCTTCATATTATTATCAAAAAGTGGAGCCTGACTTTTATGTCTTGGTTATTATAATAGTGAAATCTCCCTACCATATTTCCCACTCTGTTACAGGCCACCAGGAGGTTTTGTGGTGGGCCACCCAACTTTACATGTTCCAGAATCTCGTGTAGCATTTCTCGTAATAATAAACAGCAGGGATAGTGAGAACTCCTCTTAATGTTTGCACTGGTATGCATACCCAGAAGCTCAAAGGAGAAGTGTGGGTAGAGTAAAATATCATCTTCCCTGCTGCTCAGGGCCAAAGTGGTACACTGCAGCTGTGACATGCTGGCTTTATACTGAGAGCTGAGCGATCATGTAACTGCTGAATTGTCAGTTCTTGGTCTCTCCTTGTTTAGAGTGGAGACTGTCAGTCACTGTCCCCTGCAGGGATTCCCCTCCACACTTTCTGGTCTTCCAGCACTCACTAGAGGGACAGACACAAGGGGAGGGGCACAGCTGTCTCTTGACTCTAGAGGGGCAGCCAGGGATTTGGTAGGTATATTTGGATGGTCCGATCTGCAGTGCGGCTCTGCACTTCCAGCTGATAGCGAGCAAATAGCCCTCTATCTGCTGACTTTGGGTTACAGGATGGGAGAATGCACTCCTGTGACCCAAAAGAGAAGTAAAGCTAGAAAAGGGTTTGGCTTTGCTTCTTATTTAAGTGTAGCTATCTCACCAGTAGGGTTCCCAAGAGATGGCAAAGCTTTCAGGTAGTTTATCTCTCCAGCACCTACCAAAGCTGGAATTTGTTCACCTTTTATAATGTGTTCTTCGAGATTTCATCTACCAGCTAAATTAGAATCTTGAAGGCTAGTGTGTGATAGCATGGAGTGTTTTAAGTCTTATCTAAGTATGTTTTCTTCTTTTTTCCAGAGAAAATGCAGATTCTGACTCAATAGTAAGTACTGCTTTTATATTTAGTAAAACTCCTTTGTTTCAGTAAAGCTGGCCATACACCTTACAATTATCTGCAGATTTTCTATGGTCAGATGGAAAAGGTGCAACAGATTCCTTCATCTACGCTACACTGTGTGGATGTAGTAATCTCCACCTGGGCCAATCTGTTGCACTTTTTCCATCTGACCACAGAAAATCTGCAGATAATTGTAAGGTGTATGGGCACCTTAAAGGTTGTAAAGTAATTTTAAAAAAAAGGTTGTAAAGTATTTTAAAAAACGTACGATCTGCCCATCTTGGACAGGCAGATCATACTTGCGATCATCGCAAGCCCGCCCCCCTGAGGGGCGGGCTTCCGATGACGGCAATGCTGAACGGGCAGCGTGCGCACACCGGCACGTGCGCACTCCAGCCCGTTCGGCATTTGTCTCCCGAGCATGCTAAAAACCAGCCGAAAATCGTACGATTCTCGGCTGGTTTTCTAGCATGCTCCTTAGACAAAAGACGTGCGACCGTACAGTAGAAACGGTCGCACGTCTTCATTCACACTGCACGATTCTCGTACGATCATCGTGCAGTGTATGGGCACCTTAAGTCTGCCTTCACCAAATTCAGCAGCTAGCTGCACATGTCACGAGACAAATCAGTGATTTTAGAGTGTTGGAGTCCATTTAAAAAGCTGTGGTATGGTCTTGCTGCAGCCATACCCTTGAGTTAAAAAAAGAAAACAAACAAAAAAAAAAAATCGCACACACACACACACACACACACACACGCACACACGCACACACACGCACACACACACACACACACGTGCTTAGTGCACCGCTGGCTTGAGGAATCCAATGTTCAAATTCAATACAAATAGAACTGTGAACAAATACAGTATCAGGCATGGTGTAAATATGAGGGCCCAAGCCTTTTTCCTTCAGTACCCGGTGCTCATTTACACTGAGAGAATGTAGGTGAAGGCATGTGTGCACTGACCTGTATGAGAAAGGAGTCCTGCTTAGTCATAGCTTTCCATGAAGTGTTATTCTAAAATGTATATTCTTGCCCATCCTCCTGGGTCATGTCGAGTTCTGGTTTATTGCACACTTCTGTTTGTAGATCATAAGAAAAAGAATGCATGACGTCAAAAGATCACAAATGACTTGGGAGTTGTAAATGTATTTTTCTAAGGGGAAATTAATGGATTTGTGTGCATTTTTGTTACCTATTTATGTGAATTTGCTCTGATTAATGTAAACTATCTTATCAGTAAGTTAATGTTTTAAAATCAGTGTGTGTCGGTTTCTACGTGCCTGGTGCTGTCAAATATTTGCTTATTACAAATGCGCTCTCTGCTTCTAGATTTGTAGTGCTGATTAATATCTGGCTTTACTGCTCCCATCTTTTAGTACAAGTTCATGGGTCAGGGCTCTGAATAAATTTTACTTAGTGTACCTAAACAGTCTTGAAATTCTGGCCCCATTCTTTTTTTTGTTTTTTTTTCTAGTTTTGGGTATAGTGTTGGAAGTTTATAATCACTGTCAGACTTTTATTCCTCTGTGTGTGACCTTGAGGAGATTCATTCTCATTTTTGCCTCAGTACCATTAGTTTGGGGACAAAAAATGAGGGGAGTCCAAGCATTTTACTGTCTAACAATGACTGTAACCAATCAGCTGTATGGGCATTCTGACAGGAGCACACTGAAAATACACAATTCAATGACCGTAGTGGGAGATTTGTCCGTCCACTCTGTTTATCGTGGGGCGGGCATGCGATGGCCGCAATGCTGAACGGGCAGTGTGCGTGTGCGCACACCGGCCCGTTCAGCATTTGTCTCCCGAGCATGCTAAAAACCAGCCGAAAATCGTACGATTCTCGACTGGTTTTCTAGCGTGCCCCTTAGACAAAAGACGTGCGACTGTACAGTAGAAACGGTTGCACGTCTTCGTTCACATTGCACGATTCTCGTACGATCACAGGATTTCCCGCGATTCTCGTACGAGAATCGAGCAGTGTATGAGCACCTTAAGTTACCTGATTCCCCCTCCCCTGGCAGTCCGCACTCTCCTTCTCCCACGCCACTCAGGCTGAAAGAATGTCCCTCAGTGTCGGGGTTCTAGAAGAGGGATATGTAAACTCATCTAATACTTGTCTTTCTGCTGTGGACAGAATCACGTTGCTGTAGATTGCTATACCATGTATACTTTGTACACTTCTTATTATGTAATCCAGTTTGAGGTTTTTATGTCATAATAATGTAAGAGCAGCAATATCCGGGAGTTGCCTACGTAGCTTAGACTGCGTGGAATCTGACTACCCACTGTTTGTGTTACATCAGCATTCTTTGCCTCGTGTTCTAATATACGGCTTGTGATAATACAGACCCTTGCTGCTCATCTTCCCCTATGGAGTCAGGTTGTACTGCCACAAAGAGAAGTTTTATTGGATCATAAAATAATACTTAACTAAGTGGGCCTGTGATAACACTGAGCAATGATTACCTGAACTAGATACTGAAATGATCCAGACTAGAGCCATGGGGGATGGTATACTTTATGTACAACATATTCCTCACTCCCGTTTACTTTAATATATAGAGTTAAATTCCTGGGAGCGTTCGTTAACTCAAAACAGTCACATTACTAATAAAGTGCAAGTTCTCGATAGCTGCAAGGTTAAATCGGTGAAGCAGGTCCTAATTGGGTTTGACTTACAATGTTTACTTTCTGGTTTGCTTGTTGTGGTGCTCGGAGTTAATAATTTATGAGGCACACTGAACTGGAAACATGTCCGTCTTTCGTGCAAAAACTAGAAAGTATTGAGTGTTTTACAGAGGCGCACTTAAAGCCACCAGTACATTGACGATTTTTATATTGTATAGTAACACCTAGAAATCTGTATGATGGAGATCTGCCTATTGTGGTATTAAAACAGCTGCAGAAACCACAAAAAAATATCTCTGATCTGTTGTCTATGTGACCATTTCCAGAGACCAGGGCACTTAACCCCTTCATGACTGAGCTTTTTTCAGTTTCTGTTCCTTAAAGTGACATTAAAGTCAAAAATGTTTTTCCCTCCCCCCAATGTTAATGCCAGCACTTACCTTAAATGATGTTTCTTAATCCGATCCTCTTCTTTCCTGATGTTTTCATCTGTCGCTCCAGCGCTGCGGCCGTTCTCCGATCCAGCGCTGACTCCTCTGAGCTTGCCGGCACTTCCTGTCCCACGTAGTCTGCATGCGGGTGCACGTGTCCATAGACTTACCTTGTGTCTCTCCTCGTCTCCCGGCCGAAAATGTGATCTGCGCATGCGCTGGCCCCAAGGTGCTTTGCGGCCACCCGAGAATTTTCACATTTTCGGACGGGAGCGCACAGGGAAGACACAGGTAAGTATTAACCCTTTTCAAAGCGGGTTTTTTTTTTAATTTTAATTACACTTTTTGCATATATCTACTGTTTGCTTTCAGTAGATAAATGCAAAAAAAACGGAGGCTTTAATTATCCTTTAAATGTGATTCTTCCACAGCAGTAATATACTTTCTTACAAAGTACACCCACACATATTATATATTGTTAGAGGACAGATAGGGCAATATAATTACATCACATATGTGTACCTAACGCCTCACTTAGGATGAATAAAAATCTAAAAAAAAGAGGAAGAACCATAACGAAAAACACCATTTCCCTAGTTTTGATTATTGTTTTTTAGAAAAATAGTACAGCTAAAAAAAATGCATTCAAATAAATTCATTTATTTGTCCTTTATTTGGAAACACCTCAGATCCCTAGGATTTGAGATTTTTTTATTTTTATTTCTCAGCCTAAAAACAAAAGGCTAACATTTAATTGTTTTCCCCTCTAAAACCTAATAGTGGTTAGGTTAGGTGGCCTACAATGTCACTGTAACTAAGTGTCAATAACTGTCACACTTGGTGACAGCGACATACTTTGAGCAATGCCGTCATGAGGGGGTTAAATAGAAAAATTAACCCCTTGGGGTGAAAAACAAATCTGCAGCTTGGAACGGGTTAATTTGTATAATGATTTTAGGATAAAATATATTTGTATATATAGTTTTTCTCTTTTGTTGAATAATTGTTATTTCTTTAAATTGTGTATCTAATGCACCAGGACTCTTCCACAATAGAAAGGGATTGGAGTGGGTCTGGAGTACCTAGAAATCTATTTTGTTTAGAAAAAGCAAGTAAAGGAGACTTCTAACAGTTACCTAGGAGAACTGTGCAAGTACGTGATTGGTGGCTGCATAGAGTAGTCCACTTATGCCATGGTTCTTGGAGCTTTGGAGGATTGGAGCAATTCACCGTATTTTTCGCTCCATAAGACGCACTTTTTTTCCCCCCAAAAAGAGGGGGAAAATGTGCCTTATGGAGCGAATCCCGACGCCCGAGACATGCAGTTTCGGGCGCCGGGCGAGTAGTTTTTTGTACATTTAGCTCTGCTAAAGCAGAGCTAAATGTACAGTAGGAGCCATTGCTCGTTTAATACGAGTGATCTAATGAGATCACTCATATTAAAACTGAGCAGTGGCGGCGATCGAGATCACCATAGAGCAGACGAAGAACGGACGTTCTTCGTCTGCTCTGTGTGATCACTGAGACCATGGCGCTGTAATCACAGCGCCACCTGTCTCAACGGTCACTAACTGCAGCTTCAGTCACAGAAGCTGTGACAGAAGCTACGGTCTTTCGAGTGCTCCATAAGGTGCGTCCTATGGTCCAGTGCGTCTTATGGAACGCAAAATACGGTATGTACAAAGAGGGAGCTAGAATGCTGCTTTCGATTAAATCATGATTTTGTCTGTGTCTAGAATGACTTGCATACCATTATAGTTGTGTAGTACAGTTGCTTTAAATATGTTTTTAATAGTCTTTCTCTTTTCCAGAATGTTCATCGAGTCGATGAGGAAGGGTTTAGTATAAAACCAGAAGATAACCAGAATGATATCCTTTTTCTAGCATCGTTTCCCAAGTCTTAAACGAATAAGGTTTTACTTTGTAACTGGCCAAAAGTCCCAACCATTGGTGTTGCACTCATTTGTGCAATAGTCTAAGGCCTCGTTCACACCAGATGCAGTGTGTTCCGGCCCGATTCTGGCCAGAACACACTGCCTCACATTGCGGCCAGCTCACTTTTTGTGTGGGCCAGGAGGGGGTGTGGCGCTCCATTGAAGTGAATGGCACCGTAGTCACTCCCTCTGGCTGCAATGCGATCGGCCGCACAGGATCACAAGGCACATTATGTCTCCGGTCCGATCAAAATAGTGCTTGCGGGCCCATTCACACCATGTCTGGATCAGATGCGGTACGTTACATTTTTCTTCCGCACCAAAAATGCATCCCAATGCATTTGTATTGGATTTTTGGGCTCTGTTCACACCAGTCCAGTGCAGGAAAAAAAATGCATGTCACATTTTTCCTGTACTGGAACGCACCGGAACACATCACAAACGAATCGCACCGGAACCGGAACACAACAGAAGCTATGACATAGCAGAGCATGGAAGGGATTAATTTGCATAATTACGTTACTCCCCCCCCCAAAAAAACATAGCACAGCAGGAAGAGATTAATTTGCATAATTACGTTACTCCCCCAAAAAACGCACTGGAACGTTTGCAGAAACGTGTGCAGATCTGGTCCGGACATGGTGTGACAGGGCCCTGCAACATTTTCATCAGGCATAATGTGCCTTGCGATCCCGTGCGGTCGATCGCATTGGGACCGGAGGGCGTGGCTAGGGTACAATTCACTTAAATGGACCGCCACACCCCCTCCTGCCCGACAAAAAAGTGAGCCGGCCACAATGCGAGGCAGTGCGTTCTGGCCAGAATCGGGTACATATAGAGTACACACTGCTAATGCACTGGAGACCATAGATTTACAATTGTCTGCTAACATGGATGGATTAAATGATCCATATGTAGCCCTATACTATGCATAATTTAACCCATTCATGTTAGCAGAGGATAATTGTAAATCTATTGTTGCAGTGCACTCTATATGTACATGTACTATGTACTACATATAGAATGCACTGCAACAATACATTTACAATTATCCAATGCTAACATGAATAGGATAAATGATCCATAGTACATAACATTTAGTTGTACTACGGATCATTTAACCCATTCATGTTAGCAGTGCAGAATTGTAAATCTATTGCTGCAGTGCATTCTATATGTAGTACATGTACAGATTCCCAATTCACTGCAGCAATAGATTTACAATGATCCCCTGCTAACATGAATGGGTTAAATGATCCGTAGTACAACTACATATTATGTATGATCATCATTTAACCTATTCATGTTAGCAGGGGATAATTGTAATTCTATTACTGCAGTGTACGGGACATGTGTGCTGTATATGTACTAGAGGTGCACCGAAATGGAAATTTTAAAACCGAAATAGAAGAAAATGTCAGACCGAAACCGATACCGAAAATGTTTTTTATTTTTTCAAATTTTTTTTATATTTTATTTACTTTTTATAAACTTTTTAATTTCTTTATTTTTATTCATTTTTTATTAACTATTTTTATTTTTTACTTTCCTTTTAGGTGCTTTGTGGAAATATTAGGGGTCTAAACAGACCCCTGATATTTCCCTTTTAAAATAGAAAAAGAGATTGAGGACTTTGTGTTCTCAATCTCTTTTTCTGTGTCCGCTGTTATCAATGAACAGGAATCCTCTGAGTGTTCCTGTTCATTGATAACATGAGAACATTGTGTGTTTAACTATAACTACAATTATGAATGAATGGGGAGATGTAGATC